ATTTACAGTCTCGTGATAAATTAATAATTCATTACATGTTAATTCTATACCACTGTGTATTCAAGTACACAAGACCAGTAAGCATAAGATCAATGTGTGATGACATTATAAACATTTTAATAGAATTTATTCATAATAATCACCACTCTAAAACCAATTCATTACTTTTACCATTAATTAAATTTGACTTGAAAAATGTATGATGTTTGATGTTACTTAGAAGAATAGCTATTTACTTGTTTTTGTGATGTCAGATTCTCTGATACTCAGTCTTCGTGATATTTTGGGTATGATTTTTTTAAAGTACACACTTAACACTGTATAAAGTAATGAGTTTATTCTTAAGTTAACAAGATTGTCAGTAAAACAGAAAAAGTTCATTGCATTAATTAGCATCTTATTGAAATATAATTTTAATTTTATGTTGTTGCATTTATTTACTTTACCATTTTTATTCAATTTTAATGTGTTCATAAATTGCTCAATAAATAAAACTAATAGCTTACAAATAAATTTTAAAGTTAACATATTAATTTGATTTTTTTTTTCCTTTTGCAGTACTTAGTATCAAACCCAGGGCTTTGTGCATACTAGGCAAGTACTCTACTACTGAGATACATCCCCAGTGCAGCATATTACTTTTCTTAAAAGGCCCATCATATTCATGCACAGAAATTATCAATCAAAAATTGTGAGATCATTAGGGGAAAATCTAGAGCTTTTTTATATTTTATCAACATGTATACTCATTAGCTTATTTTAAAAACTTCTCATGTATTGATAAAATTTTGTAAGTTTATATGGCAAAGTTCAGAACGTAAAATTACATTGATCAATTAGAATATACACAGTCTTGGGCTGGGGTTGTGGCTCAGTGGTAGAGCCCTTGCAATTCAATCTTCAGCACCACATGAAAATAAATAAATAAAATAAAGGAATTATGTCCAACTAAAAAATAAATATTAAAAAAAAGAATATACACAATCTTCAGGAACTAGCCAACACACCTACTCTGTGCCAGGAATTATATCAAGAACTAGGAACATAGGTCTTGGAGAGACAAGGTCCCTGCTGCTCTGAATGTGTTTATATTCCTAAAGGGAAAGATAGTTAATAAGCAGTAATAATCAGAAAATAAGAGGTATCAGTGAATTAACAAAGTCTAAGAGAGTGGCTGGGGTTTGCAATTTTCTTGTGGAGATGACATCTAATTTGAATTCTGGATGATCAGAAGAAGCCAATACAAAAAAAGAAAATCAAGTCACTCAAATTCAATTCACTGATAGCCAATTTTAAGAGACTTAATTTGCATATTGAAAGGAAAGAGGAAAAATGAAAACATTAGTGGAATTGTGTGTTCTCAGAACACACACACAAACACAAAACATGCTTTTTGAATTTTATTGTTATTGCTACAAAATTGTTTGTCAAATACATATAAATTAAGTCATAAGTATATGATCTCTCTTGGATCCTGAGTGTTAGTGAAATGGAGGGTAGCTTTTATATTACAGTATCTTTTCTTTTTTAACATGTTTTATTGGGCTTTAATGAAGCCACATTAAATAGGTCTTTAGGGAAGGAGAGGTAAACATGTGGAATATATAAGGTTTTTTTAAAAGCATAGTAATATTAATATGTTAAATTCAGAAAACAGGAGAAACTGCAGTTTTTACAATGCAAACTATAGGAACAAAGACTGACTAATTTTGGACAATGGGTCTCTGTATAACATAAAATTCCAAAGTCTTGGAAGCAAGAGGAACATACTTTCATATTTAACCAAAGAAATCATACATGGGTTTCAAAAGTTTAAGACACATGGCCTGAAGTGCTTTCCTAAAAGTATCATCCTAATACTTAAAGAAATGAATCGAGAGCCCTAAAATTACACAATTCTATTTTAGCAAATAATTCTGAGTGAATTATCAAGGTGGGCATAGATTTACATGCAGGAATATTTCTCTTAGATTTATTTGTAATTATGAAAGTTTGGGAGAAATGCTATCTCCACAAAAGGAACATAAATAAACAAAATTTTAAATAAATAGCCAAAATTTTCCATCCAGTACTTAATGTTCATGTTTTAGAAAAATACTTAATGCTTTACTTAATAGGAATTATATAGTAAAATTCCTAAGAAGAAAAGAATACAAAATGGGACGATTCAATATTTAAAAGAAAAAAATCACACTTATATAGAAAATATTTAGAATCAGTATAACTGCTTTGGAGAACAATTTGGCAGTGCCTATAAAGTTGAAAATGTACAAGCTCTACAACCCAACATTAATGTGCTTGACAAAATGATAGATTAAAAGTTGTAAAATCTTAAGATAGAATATTACGCAGATGTTAAAAATTAATGCATTTGAACTGTATATCTACAACAAAGATAGGTCTGTATATTTCAGCAGAGACAGTTTCCAAAACAATGTTAAATTTTAAAAAGAACGTTGCAGGATGGTATAATATGGTAGTATTTATATAAAGTTTTAAAACACTTATAACAATACAAATATTGTTTACAATACACATGTAGGAAATAAGCACATAAAATTATAACCAGAAATGATACAGGCCAGAATCATGATGGGAGTTGCCTTTGGAGCAGAAGGGAGAGGAATGGGTCTGAAAAGAAAATCAAGTGGGGCCTGATGATGGTATTTTACTTCATCTGAAATATTTTCTATGTCCTTTATTTGGAAAAAAAAAAACTGACAAAATGCTTATATTGCAAATTTTAGTGGTGATGATATATCCTTGTTTATTTTATGAAACTCATTTTTGTGTGTGCTTTAAAACTTTAAAAAACAAATGATTGAAAGAAAATATGTCAATGTTTGCAGTGATTATCAATCTTCAGGGAGATGACTTCAATTTTTATTTTCATATCCAGGCTTCCACATTGATGCTGAACATTACACTATGCTTAGGATAAAGTGGTACCTTACTGCTTGAGTCCATTCAGGCTACTATAACAATATTCCAAAAACTAGGTAGATTAGAAACAACAGCAATGTATTTCTCACAATTCTGGAAGCTGTAAAGTCCGAAATCAATGAATCAGCAGATTCAGAGTCTAGTTAGCTCACTTTGGGGTTCATAGATGATACTCATAGCAGCTTGCAGAGTGCCTACTACACAGTAACTGCTCTGTAATGTTGAAGGAAATGTGAATAAACACATAGATAAACAGCAAAAGTCACAGTCAAAGGTACAGTGAGTGGAAGACAGAACATTAAGTGGGTCATTTCCATGAGAAGCAGAGCACAGTGGAATGGGCCCAGTGATGCAAATTACCACCTTGGGACTGTTATTATTTGGTACTTTTCTTTATATCCTGACTTTTCCCTCAATAAATTTTTGCTGCCTTTCTCATTTCCTGCCAGTGCTGGCCACACCCATAAGCACAGTCCCTGATTTACAGCTAAATGAGTCTTTACTTTATTACATATCCTTAAACTGTCTCAGAGCCAAGACTACACATAAATACAAATAAGGCATATACCTGATGGGCTTTGCTATAAGATAATCTCTTGCTTTCCTAGTGAGGAGATCCAAAAAAGTGTTTCTGACCAACTTAGGTGTATAGAGTTTTAGGAATGCAGATTAAATAGTCATGTTCATTCACATTTTTTTAATTTGTTAGTTTATACATGCATATTTAAAACATTATCTATAAAATGCATTAATTTTTTTCATTTAAACTTTATGAAATCAGTTTAAAGCTTCCATATGAATCTCAAGTCATTTAACATAGATTTCCAGAGCAGAGCATCTTCACTTCTATTTCAGTTCTTTAAGGTACAACATTTTTTGATTTTGTGGATGAAGCTATCACTGAAAACTTTTTATCACAAATCACAAGTCCCACCATATAACACTAGGATGATTTTTTTACTCATCTTTTAGTGTAGTTTTATGAGGCCAACAATATGACTAAATGCTAAATACTAAATTGATCATTAAAAGGCTTGTTTACAACAATAAATGGTGCTACCAACTGTGACATCATATTTTCCACAATATTAAGTACTAAATCTTTTCAAAATGTACTTGTCTTTTTTTTTTTATGCAATAGCCTCATCAAGATGAATTCTATAAGCATTCTACAGTTGCAGTGGTCACTACAGTTTCAAGTTAATGTGTTTTCTCAAAAAAAAACCCTGTGACTTAATAAAGGAATTAAGAAAGTACACCATTATGTGAGGGATTTTGAAAATCTTGACTATAAAGCAGCTCCCAATCTGAACAGTCTATAACACTGAAGGGAAATCTTCTATTTGAAAATGTACTATAAATTTATTTTCTTTAACTTTTTTAAAAAGAGAAACCTTATCTTCTTTATGCTAATGATTAGGAAAGAAAGCTGAAGCATAGCTGCATATAATATTAAGAAGTAATCAAAATGTGAGTGGATTAACATCATTTTTGGGTTTACAGGACATTAGAGGTTTGAATACATTTTGATTTCAAGTTAGAAGCAGGCTCTGTGTGTATGTATCTGTGTATGTACTTGTAATGCCATAATTATGGGTCTATGTCTAGGAATTAGAAAGTTGCAAATGGTGAAGAGCAAGTAAATTGGTTTAACTAGAGTAAGTGGATCAATTTAAAAGAAGAAAACAAGTTCACTTTGATGTGTTATTGTGATGGCAGAGGAGATCAAAGTGATAGGGAACAGCTAATAGTTTATTCTATTTGAAAATTGTGCAGCTTCTCAGTTTTCAACATTAAATATACAGTTTACATATTTGCATATGTTTCAGGCTACATTATTGGAATTCTGAAGTCATGAAAGCATCAGATGAACCAGCCTGCAACACCTTGGATTCAGATTGGAAGATAAAGTTTAGAAAATGTGGCCTTTAAGGGCTGGTAGTACCTGAAAATATTAATTGACTCACATTGTAAAAATGACACCAATTTCTAAACAGTAGAAATTATTTTAGTTCAACATCAAGGTTCAAAACAAAATGTACAACTAAAAACTTTACACTCCTCCCTCCCCCACTTCAGACAGGTGCCAGCATTGGTGAATTATGATTTTCCTTAGTTGTAAGCACTCATTTTTACCCATGTAAACCACCCCTAGGAATTAAGTATTGGTTATTTAATGTAGAGTATAATGGGAAACTGATTAATTTTACAATGGCAGAGTTCAAGGACTTGGTTCCAAACTGAGCCGAAGCTTCCCAATGCTTTTTGTACAGTCTGAGAAAAACTGTGCTGCATTGGCCCATTTTTGAAGGCCATCATGCTCTGTAATATGAAGATATCATCTTAATGCTGATATCTTTGGAGAGTCCCAAGCAGACACAGAAAATGAATGGAGGCAAGGAGTGTGACGGAGGGGACAAGGAAGGAGGTCTTCCAGCTATACAAGTTCCTGTGGGTTGGCAGCGTCGTGTGGATCAAAATGGAGTTCTTTATGTCAGGTGAGCCCTTATTTATTACCTATGTCACCTCCAAAGTCATAGTTCCAAAGTTAAGGAGGCAGAGTCTGTTCTTCTTTGAGGGAACAAAATATTGTGACTGACAGCACCTCAGATAAGTTTCAATAACTGACCTCTGTGCTAGAAATGCACAAGTATTTTTATTCTGTACTGTTTTGTAGTGTAAATTGACATAGATTATCAGAGAGAATTTTTATGCATTAATTGTGTTTACATGAGGTGTCATTCTGCTTCTCTGTAATAAGGATAAAAAAATATGAAGATTTCTAAAAAACTTAAAGCATCATTACTACATTCACAGAAGAATGCAAAATATTGGAAATAGACCCAATGCCATTTGGCAATATTACTCTGTTCTTAAAAGTACTTCAACTGACTTTTCTGATACTAAAGTTCTGTTTTTAATCTATTAGCAGTCTTACTTATTAGACTTCTTAATGCTTGATATTAACCAAAAATAATTTGCTTATTTTTTTCTGCACAGTTTTTAATCTATTTCCTTGCATGTAATAATAAAAATAAAGTCATGATGGAGATAGCTCTTCATATTACAAGTAAAAATCATACAACTAAATGTAAATGCCTCCTCTTTAAAATTTTCATGTTATATCTCTTTTAGAACAAGTTGAATGGAATAACTGAACTGTTGGCAAGAAGTTTTAAGTCTTATTTAATAAATAATTGGCATCCAAGTTCCTTATTTATAATTTTCCAATAAATATATAGAAGTTTAGGTTACCATAAGTCTTTCTTCATTATATAATAAAAAAATTAAAAGTAGACTTCAGATTTTATTAATTCCACATTAAGCAGGATCATTAAATTGATGCTATTATTTTCAATGTGGCTCTTTGCATCCCAGCTTCAATAGAATTTTCAGTTCCCTATAGATGTATTTGTATGAATGAGGTATTTTCTGTGGTACAAACAATTTCATGCTTTAACAACTCAAAAGTCAGTTCAGATGTGGGTTTATTGTTTTTTGGTTGGTTGATTTGTATGCTTGTAAAGTGCTTCTTGAGGTAAACTTAATTACCCACTGAAATTATTTTGTCACCTAAAATTCTTATATCTATAATATTAATGATGTGCTCTGTATTCGAGGAGGTGAAGGAATAAAAACACAAGGAATGTGGAGCTCATCTCATAATAGAAAAGATGGACAAAGATACAAGGAATAACTTTTTCCAAGTGTTTCTATTACCAATGTGGCTCATAAAGTGCCAGAAATACTTTGTTATAAATATAAGAAATTATCAGTGATATATGTTTATATTTATGGTTATTCTAGTTTGTAAAGAGATGATGTATGTTCAACTTGAAGCAAATGACTTAAAAATCTTGATAATTTTTTTTACTCCATCTTATGAAAGACAAATCAACTTTTCATATTGCTATGAGCAAACCATGTCAAGTCTGGGAATCAAAAACTAAGAAGTCTAAAAGTTAAAAAAAAGAAAAGAAGTCTAATTAAAAGTTGATCAGTCACTTTCAGTTAATATCAGTTCATAATTATCAGTTCATAATTTTCCAAGACTGACTTCTTCACTTTTCTGATAATCATGTTAGTATGAGTTCTCCAAATTTAAGTCTGTACACTTGAGAATTATTTTAAAAACTAAACTTTTGCAGGTAAGGTTAAATGCTTTCAAATTAAATCAAGCCACCTGGGTTTGATTTGTTTATATATAACCAATTAAAATACTACTTGAATATATGTATGAGGCTAGCCTACCTTCAATGGCTACCTTCTCAATGTATAGTTTACCTCTCATTTTTAGGTTAATCTTCAATTTCTCCTGCCTCCTGGTAGCATTTTGAGGTGACACATTAAATTTTCCACCTGTTTCCAATTTTCTAAACTGTATCCATGCTGTAAAACTTGTAACTATTTTTTACATTAATTATTGCCCCCAAAAGTTAATTATAAGAGCTACAACTAAAGGAAAGAATCCAACTGACTAAGAGGAAGAGTTTCAAGAGGTCTAGAATACTGTAAAGGAATTTAGGAATTCTTGCCTTTGATTTTAATTTCACAATGAAATTCCTTTAGGATTCAGTGCATACACTTTCTCTTAAGCAAAATGTTGGCAATTTCTCTTCCCCCAATTCATCAATTCTTATTGTGAAAAATCAATAAGGTTAGTTATTGGTGACTTTGTTTTATTGAAATTATTATACCTCCAAAGCCTCTTGTTGCCTCTCCTTGCATATCATTTAGAAGTAGCCTAAATAAATATGACGGTTTTCATTTAAATTGTTCTTTGTGCCCAAGTCATTTGGACAATTGGCCTTAAACAAAATATGAATTGCATTTTAAGGCTAGTTCATTTATGACTGCACAACTGCTTGTGTTTTTTAGAGGCAGAAAGTCTATGGCCAGTAGTGTAATACTTTGTGTATGAATTGGAGAGTATTGTTTCTGGATGAATTGGATCTGAAGGCTTAAGTTAGGATTTTACCTAATAGTCATAAATAAAAGAATTTCAAATGAAAAGTTCATAGGAATTTCAAAGCATAATACTGATTTAAGTTGTAAAATCAACATATTCATAAAGCCCTAAAATGTAAATTACCCATTTTAAACTACTATTCATTGTAAATAAAAAATCAAAAACTTATCCTATCATCTAAATTAGTATTTAATCTGTTTTACTAATTTTTGTGACCAGAAGAGGAGTAAGATGAAAAAACCTACCCACTTACCAGCCCAAAAAATGCAAGGCACCTTTTGTCTACCTAACACTCTGTTTCCTCAAAAACTTCCCATCTTTTGTCAGCTCTGTTAGATTCCTCTCTGCACAATGTTTCTTCAGTACAATTTGAAGTAGGCCACAATGATCTATCTTCAAAGAAACACACTGGTAAAGGAGAGAAAGAAATATTTTTACATAGGGTCAACTTGGTTTTAGACTCCAAAATAAACAGGGAAGAATATATTATCTCTGACTTTTGTAGACTTGCCAACTTTCTGGTTTGAACTTTAATATGTTCCTAAGTTTCAGTTTTTCCTCAACAAGCTTTGAAAGTAAATGTCGTAGTTTAAAATGATAGTGATTATTTTATGTAGTTTTTTCCCCCTGTTCCTTTCTTGCCTGTTTCTGTCCTTTCTTAAGAGTAGTATTTTTCCTATCTTTAGTCCACTCTTGGTTTTCAAAATACTTTTGTTTAATTTTCTGTGAAGATCTGTATTTTTCTGAGAAATATTTTGGTACAAAAGAAAGAGCGATAGTGTTAAAGGCTATAATTTAGTAGCTAGCATAATATTGACAAAGAAAATGCTTTCCCTAGCAGGAAAATATTATCCTGTGAAGGACAGTAAGACTATAAATTATGCCTTTTTTCATATAATATGTGCAGTCAAAATTATTTCCTGATGTATTTTTAAACTATTTTTACAGTCCCAGTGGGTCTTTGTTATCTTGCTTGGAGCAGGTTAAAACATACCTGCTTACTGATGGAACATGCAAGTGTGGCTTGGAATGTCCTCTTATTCTTCCCAAGGTAACCATTTCACAATAGAGCTACAGCAGTTTTTTATTTTTAGGTATTTTATATATTTGCTTTTCTCATTTGGCATTTCATTTTTATATTAGTTCTCCAATCATGTATTTGTTTTAACTTTTATCTAATTAGACATCTTTTACATGCATTTTGGAATGATTAAAGATTGTGGGAAATTTACTCAGGTCATTTTCAAAGGTGACAAACTATATTCATATTAAATATTTCTTTAAAACCACAATTCACCTTTTTATTAGAGCTGTACCTATGCTCAATATTTAGTAATGCAGTATTTTCTTTAACTACTCTAACTGCAATATTACTTTTAGCATGGTTATTGATAAGTCTGTCATAGATGTTTCTAAAATTGTAAAGCCAAACCCTCATAACCAAAATATGAAAATGTTTTACTCCTTTACAAGGTAAAAAGTAAAATTACTTAAAATAGTAAAATGTTATTTGCTATAGAAATAGATCATTCTCTGAATGTTTTATAGTATTAATTTTCAAACTAAAAATTAATAAACAACTTTTTTCTTTTTACTGTTACTGCATCATAAAAAAAATTTCTAATAAGTAAATTTTTAATAGAGCAGTAGATTTTCTAAGTCAGTGAAAAGGTAATATAAATACAGTAATAAAAGGAAGCCAAAGGAAAGTTAGCATGTAGAAATATCATAGTTTTTTGTTTTGTTTTTATATCTAGATTTTATCTGTTTTTGTACTGGTATAATATCAGGAACTATCTAAAATTGGAAACATTATTAGATATTAAACTTTTCCATATATTTATCTTGGTTATCTGAGAATTACTGTAATTTTCATTATTTATTTTGCTACTAAAAACCGTAAGTTCAGCAGAAGTATTTATTAAGTTATATAACATTGTTTTCCTTAAGTTTAAAAACTTAAGAAAGTTTTATTCAGATTTATGGCTTAATCTCAGTACAATGTTTTTCTTTTTAAACAAGAGGATCTTTTTATTAAATGTTTTTGCAGACGTATTCTAAACAAAGACTGTGCTTTTTCCAGGTATTTAATTTTGATCCTGGAGCTGCTGTGAAACAGAGAACTGCAGAAGATGTTAAAGCAGATGAAGATGTCACAAAGCTATGCATACATAAAAGAAAAATCATTGCAGTGGCCACACTTCATAAAAGCATGGAAGCCCCACATCCTTCTCTGGTGCTCACCAGTCCCGGAGGAGGAACAAGTATGTAATATGGCTAAGGGGTTAGGAATTCTCCTCCCCCGCTCCATTGCAAGAGAAGGAGATGCTGGAAATCACTTTGCCAAAGCATTTTCCCATTTCACTTTTCAAACATGCACAGTGTTTTTAAGGTTTTATATGATCTATCATTTTAGTGCAAATAGCAAATTAATTCTGAAAAATTACCATGAGGTTATTTCCCAGAATTCCTTGTGCAGATCATCTAGTTACATAATCAGAATAAACACTAATTAGCACATCCTAATGCTATGCAGATGTGCAGAGCTGAGCTCATAGAAAAGAAAGTGCCATTGGTTTTTAGGAAACAAATGTAGCCATTTTCATAGGGCTGTATTGGAAGATGTGATATTAAATCCCCAACAATTTAGCAGTTTTGTTAAAAACAAGCTGTTTCTTTTCTTTTTTCTTTTTTTTTTAGTCATTTGATAACTATTTGTTGAACACCTACTAAACAAAAATCATCTTGCCAAGAACTTTTTATGAGCCCCCACTCAACTCACTCTCAATCTCTCTCTCTCTCTCTCTCTCTCTCTCTCTCTCTCTCTCTCTCCCCCTCACACACACACACACAATTTTTTTTATATCTTTATTTTATTTATTTATTTTTATGTGCTGCTGAGGATCGAACCCAGGGCCTCACGTGTAATAGGTGAGTGCTCTACCACTGAGCCACGACCCCAGCCCACACACACAATTTTTTTCAAGAATTAAAAGCTGCAGAAAAAGTGCAAGGATGGCTCATTAAGTAGCCATCTACCATTTGCTTAGAAAACCACTTATATTTTGTTATAGAAAGTTGCAGGTATTGTCACTATTTACCCCTCAAGGACATTCCCCTACGTAACAACAATCTAATGATCATATTTGGGAAATTTAACGGTGATATAAAAATGTTGTCTAACATGAAGTGTATTTTAATTTCTCCAGTTTTCCTAACAATATCTCTTTTCACTTTTTAAAAAATTGACTTTAAAACCAGAATGCAATCAAAGATGGTGCACTGCAGTTAGTGTTACATTTCTTTAATCTATATCGAGTCCCCAGTGTCTTTAGTCTTTCATGGGACTGAAATTTTTGAAGAGTTCAGGCTAACTAGATTTGCAGGCTGTTCCTCAATTTGGATTTGCCTGATGGTTTCTTCATACTCAGGTAATACACATTTGATAAGAATTCTGCATGGGTGAAGTCATAGCCTCATCAGGATAAACACTTTCACCCATATCTATGACACTGTTTGATTGCTTGGTTAAGTTTGTGTCCATCCAATTTTTCCATTGTAAAGTACCCTTTTTCCCTTTGTGATTAGTATGTGCTTTGTGCCATTATACTCTGAGACTGAGGAACCTCTTTTTGTAAAGGCAAGAATATGAATTCCCTCTAAAATATTACAATCTGCTTAAGACTTGAAGAGTGGTTCAGAATAAAATATGGCAAGCACCAAAGCATGAGTTGATGAGGGGTAATTGATACTGTTCTGCAAAGTTCTGAAAAATAGGGACAATGAATGTGACCTGTAGAGCTCAGAGAAGGCTTCATGGCAGAACCCTGATTTAAACCAGCTTTGGGAAAATAATAGGATTTAGGCCTATGAAGGGAATAGGAAAATTATTCTTCAGAATGAGTGTGACATAATTAAGGTATAATGTGGAAACTAACCTAACTTGAATGGAAGATTAAAGAAGTATAATAAATTGCAGCCAAACTATTGAGAGCCTGGAATGTTAAAAAAACAATTGCTACATCATACAGGTAATTAAAATCTCTGACTTAGAACTCAGGTGAAGAGACAGATTTTGCAGCGATAAGCATAAAGCCTCTTTCCAACAACCCTCTAACCTTTAAATATAAACGGGACTAATTTTTACAAATTGCTCCACTTCTATATACTAAGATATATAAGGAAAAAAAAACTTTTAGGGAATGTTATTCTTTTAATAAGGTACAATTTTTAAATTAAAAGAGTTGCAACAATTTAAACATAAGTTTAATAATAACAAATTATTTAAAATTTGCCTTTAACCTGCCACCTTGATGTTTTAATTTTTGCATATTATCCTGAATGTATTTCTGAACTTACTTTTGTCTGCTGTTGATCTCACATCACATTATGTCATACAGTTTTACCTTTTTCTACAGTCTGCCTTATTGCCTTTCTTAAGACCCGGAAGAATCTTAATCTAAGTCCTTTGTCATACCTATACATACAAATTTAATTATTGAAATTTAGGATAAATATTTAATTAGTATAGGCAATAATTGGTATATTTCTACCCCTTCTAAGTGCTACACTTCATTGGATTGTTACTCTTACTCTCTTCAGCAATAGCATTTTTTCCATAACTTTAAATTATTTCATGAAGTTGAGGTTTAATAATTAAAAATCAAAAGTCTCACATAGTAGCTTTTATCTCCTTTTAAATAAATATATAAACATTTACATTGTTACTGTTTATTCTTTAAAAGGTCTACTTGAATGTAAGTGGGTGCCTGGTATTTACACTTGCCAACTCTTGTATACCTTACTTCCTAAATGTCATATAGCCTCAGCCTGACTTTTGCTAGTTTGTTTAGTATTTCTGTTACTTTAAAGAGGATAACTATTTTGCCTTAAATATGGACAAAATTCCTTCTAAAACACAGCAATTGTCTAAATTCTTTTTGTTGAATATAAAAATGCCAATATTCATATTATTTTTAATCACTGAACTATAGATAATTATATGAATACATTTTTATCTGAGAAAAGATGCAAGCAAGTGATTATGATTAAAGAGAACACAGCCAGTCCCATTATAATTCTAGTGATATGATTACATGTAACTGTTGTTACTATATTGCAAGCATAGTACCCTACATATTTTTAATGTTATTTCTTTAATTACAAACTTTAAAAATAGGCTTCAAATGACTTTATCTGCTGCCATTCTGTTATGTTATTGGTTCTCAACATTTTCTATATTATATCTCAAAATTACCTTATTAAATAACCTCTACCATGCTAGAATTAGAAAGTCTGCATTTTCCAAGAAAACTATATGTTCACTGCTTTCTCATACTACTTGAATGCACTCTACCTTGACTTCTGTATGTCCCAGGTTGTGACTGACTACCTTAAAAATTTTTATTATATGATTTCATCTGTATACTGTCTAGCAAGTAGAAGTATTTATCTTAAATGTGCATTTCACCTTTTAGATAAGTATACCTCTGATTGAAAATGAATCTAAGTATATTTGCTAATATGTTTTGGTTCTATAAATAGTATGGCAAATATATAGTAAGAAGGGTATGACTTTCATCTCCTGTGCCCTGACAGACTCATTGGCATTTTCTCACAGAGTCCATCTAGAGCTTAGCATCCTTTTCAATACAGCTCTGTAATCAGCCTCTATAAATTGATGGGAATTGGCATATGAAACAAATTTTATTTGCCATCTCTGTTTTAGAAGGCACAACTTCATGAAAGAGTTAAGCATCCGTAGGGGCTTAGAAACTGAAACCTAGAATTCTAACATGATAGAGTGAAAATTCTGTATGATGAACCAGCTTGCTTTTGTTGCCTCTATTCTGTCTGATCTCCAGAAGAACTGAAGGGATTCCAAAAAGCCAGAGAGGGAGAAATGCATTCATGTAAAAAGAGAATTCTCAATAGCAGCCCAGTACTGAAGGTTTTAGCACTCCATTGAATTTTACATTAGAATTCTATCCTAATAAAAGATTTGTAATCTCTTACCTAAATTGGTTGATTAAAGCCATTTTGACAACAATGACAAAGGGCAAAGAAATTATAGTGTTACAGTGTTGTAGACATCATGAAGCTAAGAATGACTGTAATATCACTGCATTTATTCTTGTTATCATTCCTATTTTAAAAGATGCAGAGTTCCATTCATGTAATTCACAAAAATAAAGAGTCTTACTCTCAGAATGAAAATGTTGAGATAAGGAAATATTACTGTAGCTATCCTGAGAAGGTTTCAGTAAGGTAATAGATGCGTTTATAGAGTAACAAATTTTCTTATAGAAATGAAAATTCATTTAAGTCATACAAGAAAATAAATATGTCACACAGATTATGATTTCCAATTGTAATTGTGCACTCAAAAATTTTAAATCCAATAAGATAGTAACATCACCACTTCCATCTGGGCTGTCAGTCTTGATTTTGCATATTCTAAATCTTATTAGAATGACTGATGTCAGTATGTACTGATTTAGATGCCTAGGCTTTCTCAACAGAAAAGAGGTAAACAAGACTAATGAACAATTACTGAGAATCTTTGGTCAACTAAGGAGAATAAAGTACATTTTTTAAATCAAAGTTTAAGGTAGCTGCTTGCAGAACCTTTTTTCATTGCATAGAATCATAATTTTTATTTGCAAATTTGTATTTCCTGATGACCTTTTCCCTATTTCTTCCTGATTTCCTCCTTCCTTTCCTCCCTGCCAACACAAAAGAAAGAAAACTATTAACAGAATCTTTTTTCTCTTTCACATCAGATGCAACTCCAGTAGTACCTTCACGGGCAGCAACTCCAAGATCAATAAGAAATAAGTCTCATGAAGGAATTACAAATTCTGTAATGCCTGAATGTAAGAATCCTTTCAAGTTGATGATTGGATCGTCAAATGCCATGGGAAGGCTATATGTACAAGAACTGCCTGGAAGCCAGCAACAAGAACTCCACCCTGTCTACCCCCGGCAGAGATTGGGCAGCAGTGAACACGGACAGAAATCTCCATTCCGTGGCAGCCATGGAGGCCTGCCAAGCCCAGCATCATCAGGTTCCCAGATATATGGAGATGGTTCAATCTCTCCACGGACTGACCCACTTGGAAGCCCTGATGTTTTCACAAGAAATAATCCTGGTTTTCATGGAGCTCCCAATTCTAGTCCTATTCACCTAAATAGGACTCCTCTTTCTCCACCTTCAGTAATGCTACATGGTTCTCCTGTACAGTCATCCTGTGCAATGGCTGGAAGGACTAATATACCTCTTTCCCCAACTTTGACTACAAAGAGTCCAGTAATGAAAAAACCAATGTGTAATTTTTCAACTAATATGGAAATACCACGAGCAATGTTTCACCACAAACCACCCCAAGGCCCACCACCCCCTCCTCCACCTTCTTGTGCTCTTCAGAAAAAGCCATTAACATCTGAGAAAGATCCACTTGGCATTCTTGACCCTATTCCTAGTAAACCAGTGAATCAGAACCCTGTTATCATTAATCCAACCAGTTTCCATTCAAATGTCCACTCTCAGGTACCTGTGATGAATGTAAGCATGCCTCCTGCTGTTGTTCCTTTGCCAAGTAATCTCCCTTTGCCAACTGTAAAACCTGGCCATATGAATCATGGGAGTCATGTACAAAGAGTTCCGCATTCAGCTTCAACCTCCCTGTCCCCTTCTCCAGTGACATCCCCAGTGCACATGATGGGGACTGGAATTGGAAGGATTGAGGCATCGCCCCAAAGATCACGCTCATCTTCCACATCATCAGATCATGGAAATTTCATGATGCCACCTGTAGGACCCCAGGCCACTTGTAGTGGTATTAAGGTTCCACCCAGGTCACCAAGGTCAACTATAGGGTCCCCAAGGCCATCAATGCCATCAAGCCCTTCTACCAAGTCCGATGGACATCATCAGTACAAGGATATCCCTAACCCATTAATTGCTGGAATGAGTAATGTACTAAATACCCCAAGCAGTGCAGCTTTTCCTACTGCATCTGCCGGAAGTGGTTCTGTAAAGAGTCAGCCTGGTTTGCTGGGAATGCCTTTAAATCAGATCTTGAACCAGCACAATGCTGCCTCCTTTCCAGCAAGTAGTTTACTCTCAGCAGCAGCCAAAGCACAGCTAGCAAATCAAAACAAACTTGCTGGTAACAACAGTAGCAGCAGTAGCAATTCTGGAGCTGTTGCCGGCAGTGGCAACACTGAAGGACATAGCACTTTAAACACCATGTTCCCTCCTACTGCCAACATGCTTCTCCCAACAGGTGAAGGGCAAAGTGGTCGCGCAGCACTAAGAGATAAGCTGATGTCTCAGCAAAAAGACTCATTACGGAAAAGAAAACAGCCACCTACCACAGTGTTGAGTTTGCTAAGACAGTCTCAAATGGATAGTTCTGCGGTTCCTAAACCTGGACCCGACTTGCTGAGGAAGCAGGGTCAGGGTTCATTTCCCATCAGTTCAATGTCTCAGTTACTACAGTCTATGAGTTGTCAAAGCTCTCACTTGAGTAGCAATAGTACCCCGGGTTGTGGGGGCTCAAATACTGCTTTGCCTTGCTCTGCTAACCAGCTGCATTTTACAGATCCCAATATGAACTCCAGTGTTCTTCAGAATTCACTGACACAGAACATACCTTTAAGAGGGGAAGCCGTGCACTGCCACAATGCAAACACTAACTTTGTTCACAGTAACAGTCCAGTCCCCAATCACCATCTTGCAGGTTTAATAAATCAGATTCAGGCTAGCGGGAACTGTGGGATGCTCAGTCAGTCGGGCATGGCTTTAGGAAATTCATTACATCCCAATCCACCTCAGTCAAGAATTTCAACGTCCTCCACTCCAGTGATACCAAACAGCATTGTTAGCAGCTATAATCAAACAAGTTCTGAAGCAGGTATGGTTTTATTAGAAAAAAGTACCCAAAGGTACTAAGTTTTTCTACGTTTTTTTAAAAATTTGTACCAAAATATTTATTATAAGAAATGATCCTTTCCCCATTGTGAAATTTTCTTCATTCTTTAGTATTTATAATTTTATTTACAGAATGGTAGGGATTTGTCTATTGGAAAGAATAAGGGGATTCCATATGTTTCTGTTATTTGTTATCAATCTGTGTCATTTTGAATATTGTTCAACTTTTAGTTGGTTTTATAACCAATGGACTATAAATTGCAAAAAAAAAAAAAAAGCCATAGAAAGCAGGGTTTTCTGGTTATGAGACATGTCCTGGTCTATGCCAATATAGAAGCTGTTTCCCCTTGCTTTTGTTTGTATTCAGGTAAATGAAGCTCATCTTGGAAAATCCAAAAAGGCAAAAATAAATGGATATTATTTTTCTTGCTGCTGAACAGAAATAGGTGAATGGATAGGAAAAAGTAACTAGAAGTTGTATGAAATAGGAAGCTATCTTCTAATGTGTTTTCTTATCCTAGTTTGCTATCCTTTATTATAATTTGTTTGAAAAAATTCAAAAATGAATATTGGCTACTTCTTTTTAAAAAAAAAAAAAAGTAATAATTTAAGTTTCCTAATAAAAAGGCTTGAAAACCTGATTTCCAGAATTTTTGATCTTGAAATTGCTTTAAATTTTCTTATAGAACTAAACCATTATTTTTACCATTGACACTAAGGTTTTGAACCCAAATTTAATGTAAATCTTCACCCACTATTAGTGAAGGAGACAAGTTTATGTAAAAGTAGACACATTAGAAAAAGAACTATGTTTTGTGCAATAGAGTCCTCAGAAATCACTATAAAAACTGTATGGAAGTACTAAAGAGATGAATTCGTTGAGACTTCAGAAAATTTGACCATGAAAACATTAGAAAAACTACTAAGAGCCCAACACTAATGATTTCAGATTTGTGGGAAATGACAGGGAGGCAATAAAAGATGACTGCAGAGTTATTATAATTCTTATTTGAGAACAGCAAGCTTTAAAAACCAGATTGCTCCTGGAAATGAGAAAACTGCTAAGGCTTTTACTAATCAACTACCGTTAGATTTTGTGGACTGTATCACACCACCATGCTGAAAATGGATACTCTACATGTCTATTGCTGTAGTAAAACCAAAAGTGTTTTCTTCCTGGTGTTGCCATCTTTCACAACCTGGTTATATGTTCTGTGTTGATGTCAGTATTTAATGAAGAACTGTTCAATGACCTCTTGTGTTAAAAAGAATACAAGGTTTAGAAGATATTCAAAATTATTAGTGCCTTCTTGATATTCTTAGTTTAAGGAATCTTATGAACCTTTATTTTTTATGTGTTTAACAGAATTGTTATCCCATAAGGGGCTTCCAGCTGTTCACTGACTCCTTATTCATTAATTCTACACAAAAATTTAATCTTATACATATAGAAGGTTAAAGTTACATGATTTCTATAACTATTTAACAATGTACCATATTCAATGAGCACACATTCAATCATTTTGATGAGACATTGGTAGTCTCATTATATTATGTAGTTTTGATAGTTTTGATACCCCTTACCTCAATTTACTTAATTTCAGGTCAAAATTCATATGTGCAAAGTATATGTATTTTATTAGTGATATATTTCAATTCATCCATAATGGAAAAGACCAATGTTTGTTAACTTTCTTGTTTCTTCTGATGCCAACTTTAGGCTTATTTTATATAAGATAAAATAAGGTCACTTATTTTTCTGTCCCATGTATCTATGTAAAACATCTGACTTCAATTGCTAGTCCTGGTGGTATCAAAGCACACAGGTTAAAATGATATTAATATAAGAGAAGCTTTAGCATATATATAACTAAAAAAGAACTAGAATAAATGACTAGTAATGAAATGATGTGACCAATGATGCACAAGCTAACCTGAAAACATATGTTTAATTAAAATCTAAGTTAGTAAGAATTTTTAAACTATTTAACCTTATAAAATTAAATACTAAGTAATGTACTTAGGTCTGCTGTGCAGCTGGTTATGAAAATGGGTTGACTTACTAATTAATGTAACTCTTTTGATGAGCTAAATATTGAAGAGATCTTTAGTGCATGTTTCTTTTTGCTATGAAGTAAATTGTGTCAATTGAATGTACTGTTCTTATAATCACCTGGCCTAAATATCTGTTCACACTGACATTTATTCATTCATCAAATAATCATTAAGCACCAAGGCTGGGCATCCAGAATGAGACAACAGGTGACAGTCACAGCTATCCCTGTAAGAGGTTTTCTAGGTATTCCTACTACAACAGTAATATATGAGAAGAAAAATGGCTATCATTAAGTATCTACTATGTGCCAAGTGGTTTACCTGTGTTATTTATAATCTGTGCAGTTTTCCAGAGTATAGAATTTTATTGTCCCTGTTTTCCAGAAAAGGAAACTGAGCCTTAGAAAATTTAACTGTCCAGGATCAAATGTAACTGAATCAGAACTTGAACTCAGGTTCATCTGATTCTAAAATCCATTTTTCCCCAGCTGTATAAGTTCTTCATCTGAAATGTTTAGTGTACAAAAATAATTGTTTTCTACTTCCATTTCAAAATCTTTTAAAATGTTCAATAGAAGATGAATAGAAGCACATCAATACATGTTAGAAGCCACATTTATAAATTTATGATGTATTGTTAGACAATATCAATTTTTGAACTCTACTATCATAGCACAAAATGATTTAAATGTTTTTCTCAGTTACAGAAGAAATATCCAAAATATCATGAGAACTGCCCTTATTCATGGATCATAGTTGGGGACCTTTCTGTCAATGAGTTATCACCTCACTCAGATAAGAATGGGTTTCCTACTGGGTGGCCTATCACTAGACCTTCGAAAGAGGTGACTGTGCAGATACTAATCATGTTGTTCCAAGACTGGTAGCATAGTAAATGTGAAAGAGACCCACAGGTAACACGTCCAGCTGCACCCTGTGCTAACAGCCTAGACATAGCTCAGGTGACCTGCTCCATTCAGTGCCTTTATTCACTCTCCTAAGCAGCAATTCAGAAACATCACATTAAGACATTGAAACAAGAAATTACTTTCTCTGAAAATGCTTAATTTGATTGGTAACTTATTTTCAAAACTTCTTTTTAAAATGATTTTTCTATTGTTAAGACTCCAAATATTGAGTCTTAGGTCTATATATGAGTTCTGTATTATTTACATTTAAAATATACAACTCAAACAGAGGAATTAGGGGCAAAGATTGTGACAAAATCAGATAAAAGATATGAAATATTTAGAAATCATTTCTAAAACTTAGGGGCTTTATTAATTCTATTTGGTGTTTTCAGAATGGCTTTTCACTAGAGCTGCTCAATACTCTGGATTGTAATGTGTATAGGTTCCTATTAGCTTTTTGAATATAAAATTGCAATTCAAGCTTAATACTTTCATGTAACAGATGTAGAACTAACAGGAGGATATTTGGTGACATGCCCCAAATTCTAATGCTCTGGTGAATGTGGCAGCCAAACCCCAAAGTTCCTAAATCACAGTCCAAACAAACTGCTGAACACAAGCATATGCTCAAAATCCTTCAGCAGTAAACATTTCAAACAACTTTCAGTTTTTAAAGAGAGACAAATTTCAGTACTTCAGTGGTTCCAGCTCATGTCCTGTGGTGTTTTGATATACAGAGGGAACCAAAATCAAGTGCCCTTGACTGGCAGACTTCAAAAGGCCCATGCTTCCTGGGGCTTCTGGCTATAGCACACCTGCTAACCACGTCACTAAAACACCTATACTGGGAACCCTGGCCTCTGTAGGGGACTTGGCCCTGTCAGCATCCATACAGGAATGTGTCCCTCCCATGACCCTGTGATGTTTCACAATTTTCAAAGAAGAAAGATTTAGATTATTCTAGTAACATTCTTTCTTAATAACAATCTTCCTCCTTCCAATATAATAAAGTCATTAAATATAACCTTTTCATTTAAAATGCTTTTATATCCTATTTTTCTTAATAAAAACATTTAATCAACTCTTCTCAGCACATGAAAATATAATCATGAGGGGACAGAGTATGGATTTATGACAAATGAGGAAATAATTAAAACATTTATTTGCCTTAACTCTTAAATATATACATTGACTAATAAGAATATAAATAAACCTATCAATGAATATATTCATGAGTATTTATATAAATATATATGTATATTTTTAAACTCTGTGAAAGCAAGTGTTTTCTTTCAGCACAAAATACATTTGAAACTCAGGACAGCCATTGAAATGGTAGGTATAAGACAATGAAATAGTTGAGACCACAAAAAAAAATGCTTTGGGTAAAAGACTACAAAGTAATGTGTTTAATTTTTTTGTTCTTGTGTTTATTTATTCTCAGAACATGCCAGTAGAGAAAATAAGGGAAGTTGTCATCCCTTACATTGTTTAGATGAGCCTACAAGTACAGAAATTTTAAGGGATGAAATGTCCAAGGGCAAATTATACTATATGTTAGCCTTCTCAAAGTATGGGAAGTTTGTGTGGAAATAATCATCTAGTCTCATACAGACTAATGTAGACTGAAGAAAGAGGCAGAGGCTCATCGAAGGTGGTTAACTAGATTAATAACAATAGTCACTATTGAAAGTATTTCCACCAAATTTTTGAATAACTAGATTTTATTCTTCTGAGGCACAAGGCTTATAGGTTAAAATTTGCTCTGTGCTCTTGTTATTTAACCAGACAACAAAACTGTATTAAATTCTGGGATGTGTGATAAAAACCTATGTCTATTCTTTTAGTTAAATTTTTGCAAAATGAGCCATTTCTTCTTTGCTGTAAGATATTTTTACTACAGGCAATGTCTTGCTGTTTAAGAAGGTTTCCTAATATCAGAGTTAAACCATTTGTTTTGTTTACATGTTCCAGGTTAAATGTTTCCTTGTGTACAAAGAAAAAGTTAAAATATGTT